TCACTTTTCTATGCATGAATAGTTCAAAATTCAGAAACTGCCAGCAGCTATTGGTTAAATATTCAGGAAGTTAGAGAATTTTGCTAACATGTCTTAATTATGAAAGAAAAAAAAATGGACTTGAAAGGACAAAATTTTAATTTAGTCCATGAGGAAATTTATAAACCTGTATGTTATGGAGGTAAATCTTTACCCCTCTTTCCCCAAAAATACTATTGATCTTTAGTAATGGCTCTTCTTTGTGAGTCAAAGAGTTAAAACCATCTATTTTACTCCCAAATGAGTGTCAGTCCCACTCAGAGGTGCCATGTTTTATTTAAAACATACTCTTTCTCAGTAACCGCTTTGTTCTAATTGGCAAGGCAAAGCCGGGTCCCTGAAGCACATAGCTCATTACATTCAGTTTGGATTACAAAAACACACGATGAAACAAACTGCATCTTAACGGCACAGGAGTATGGGAGTAGGAGGTGGAATTAGATTGTAATATGGAATAAAACCCACAGGGAGACTGGGGAACAAATCACTAGTGTCTCTATAAACTATACAAGGTTTCCAAATGAGCAAATACACGAGGCAGAGGACAGGCTTTTCCATAACTCAACCAGAGGCTCCCTGGTGGTCTAGCAGTTAGGATTCGGTGCTCTCCCATAACTCAACCAAATTGCTAAGTATGGATACAACAAAACGAGAATTTTTTTTCAACATTATTATGCACTCATGTATGAGAGAATGGAAATACCAACAAGCAGGTTTAATAAATGAAACCTGCAGGTTGCACTGTTTAAATATGAACTTCATCTCTGCCTTTATACCGACAATGTGCAAATAGCCCTACAATTAAATCACACCTCCAGTTTTGTTTTGTTTTTTAAACCTTATTCGAAGCTAAGCACTGGAGACTAAATTAGAAATGGTGCTTCACTATGCAGTGCAGAGAGCAAGGTTAATGAGCTAAAAGTTATGCGAACATAAACAAGAAAGATGTTAAGAAATGAATAGCGCACCACCAAAATAGAAAAAGCATTAGACAAAAACACTGCCCCCAACATACATGCGAACCTTTCCCAAATTAGCTACACTCTGAAGCTTCCAGCACTGTTTCTCTGATTTTCCCTGGACACCTAACGACAAGCTGAAACTGAATTAAAGAGCATATACAAGGAAAATGTATAGCCCTAACCTACCGTACACACAAATGCAAAACAATGCTACTATGACGTCCTCACAGGGTTTTACAGTACATTTCCATCTACACCTACTACCTTTTCTTCTAACAATATCAAATAGTGGGAGATTTGTAGTCTAACTCTAAACCATGGCTTGTCAACCGGTGGCCCGTAAGGTCCGAAAGGTTGGCAACCGCTGGTCTAAACACCTAATATCAAATCTCAGTTTTTAGCTTTAAATTTTATTTAATCTTTGGAACGAACATTATTTAATAAATCCAAGCCACAGTTTCCTCATCTGAATACAGAGATACAAAATCAACAAAGTTGTGAGGATCAAATGAGATATTATGTAAAATTGATTCCAATTATAAAAGGGCTGTCCTACTCTGGGTTAGTGGACAGAGCATCAGCCTGCAGACTGAAGAGTCCTGGGTTCGATTCCAGTCAAGGGCACATGCCCAGGTTGCAGGCTTGATCCCTAGTAGGGGGCATGCAGGAAGCAGACAATCAATGATTCTCTCTCAGCCCTTCCTCTCTAAAATCAATAAAAATGTATTTTAAAAAATAAATTATAAAAGAAATCTTAGTTATTGTTGCAATTATTTCATCTCAGAATTTTATCACCTTTTTAAAAACATGGATATTTGTCCTTGCCCTTCTTCTATCTTATTTCACAAACATTAATTCTTGTTCCACTTCTTTTTTAAGTACCTTTTTATGGAATTCCACTTTTAAGATCATACCCTTATTTTTTTTCTCCCAACCAGAAGTGTTAGGTTAAAGTATTTTTTTTCTTCTCTATATACAATATTTATTCTAAAAATAAGTTAGGAAATTCAAACAAAAAATCTTTGGTAATAGGATTATTAACATACAGCTAGCTCTAGTTTACACACAAAGAACCAGCTGAGCAGTGAGACATTTTTAATTGACAGAAAATTTTGTATATTAAAGATCACATTTTAATTATACATTAACGGTCTGAAAATAAAGCCCTATCATTTTACCAGCCATTTCTACTATGGACAAATAATTAAGTGCAATGGTTGTTATAACCAGGAAAAGTGTCAAAAAGCAACCTCACTGTAACCCTCTCATTCAAGCACAAAGAAAATAGCCAGATCAAGAATTATACTAAATATCTGTAGCATGGTGCAGTCAAGAGAGTATCTTATACAGAAAAGGGGCCAACCACATCTAACCCAAGCAGATCTCAGAAGTAGGGGTCTCCAAACTTCTTTGGTAGCAGTATAACATTACTATAAAATTTGAGCACATACCTCTTACCTGTCTGTTGTTGTTTTTTAAATAATTATATACTCCTGCAGTGCACTGAATAGTGTGACCCATCCTCAACCTCTCTCCCGCATCCCTTCAGACCACAACCTCCCAAAAAAGTCCACTGGAAACCTATGGATATAATCTTATTTGAAAAAAAGCACCTATGCAAATGTAACTCAAGATTTCCAGTTAAGATCATCCTACATAAGGGTGGGCCCTAAATCCAGTGACACTTGTCCTTAGAAAAGACAGAGTAAAAAAGAGAAACACGAGTGAGAGGGCATGTGAAGATAAAGCAGAGACCTGAGTAATGTCCAGAAGCCAAGGGATGCCAATGAAAGGAATGGAATAGATCCTCCCTCAGAATCCATAAGAAACCAACCCTGCTGGCTGACCTCTGGATTTCAGACTTCTGGCCTGTGAGAGAATAAATTTCTGTTGTTTAAGTGACCAAATCTGTGATAATTTGGCAATTATGTTGTGTACATTATAAAAATTAATATGTAAAGGATAATAAAAATAGATTTAAGTAGAAATTCTACAATTTTCTCTCAGTGGACAATCCCTTGCACCAGTATAGAGACCACAACTTTAGACAAACGAGAACAGAAATAAAGCTAAATGATAGTCAAAGTACCTTAAAAGACCTAGTAACTATTAAATTTCCTTTTCGCCTAAAGCAGTGGTCGGCAAACTCATTAGTCAACTGAGCCAAATAACAACAGTACAACGATTGTAATTTCTTTTGAGAGCTAAATTTTTTAAACTTAAACTTCTTCTAATGCCACTTCTTCAAAATAGACTCGCCCACGCGTGGTATTTGAGTGAAAAGCTACACTCAAGGGGCCAAAAAGCTTCATGTGGCTCAAGAGCCACAGCTTGCCGACCACGGGCCTGAAGTACTGACACATAGTCACACTTTTTCTACTTAAAGACTAAAAGGTGTTGTCTTTCTGTTACTTACAAAACAGAGCATTTTGTTTCCCATTAGAAGTGCAACAATTGTTCTTGACATAATTTCTTTTTTTTATATATATATATATATTTTATTGATTTTGTACAGAGAGGAAGGGAGAGAGATAGAGAGTCAGAAACATCGATGAGAGAGAGTCATCGATCAGCCGCCCTTTGCACACCCCCTACTGGGGATATGCCCGCAACCAAGGTACATGCCCTTGACCGGAATCGAACCTGGGACCTTTCAGTCCCCAAGCCGACGCTCTATCTTTTGAGCCAAACCGGTCCTGGCTGTTCTTGACATAATTTCCATAACATCTTCATACTGCTTCACTTACCTTGACTAGCATAACTCTGAGCCACACAATTTATGAATGCTTGGTAGTAAGACAGCAAACTGCTGTAGACTACCAGGTCTGAAAGGGCTGCCAGAGCTCAGCTTTCTAATCAATTAAGGACCTGCTGCCCTTGTCTTGCTTTCATTTGAAAACAACGAAGCCACCCCACAGAGAATAGCGTTTCTAATAAGGAGACAGTCTTAATATAATCAAATGGGTTAATTTTTTAAAAATAGAGAAAACATGAGGTTGCAATTGTGATATAAAAACAATAGTTGAAAAGAACTTACATGTTCATTAACAGAAGAGTAGGTAAATTGGGGCACAGAATAATGAGGGTGACTAATAATTCATCAACCACACTGAGAAGTACCAAAGGAGACGCTGTTATATATATTCACTGGTACACAAAGGCATAAACTGAAAGTGCTCCAGGACATTAATAGGATTATTTTAACAGTTAAAATGAACTAAAGTAATATGTGTCATCATGATTGGTTTCTAAAAGCATTATTAAAAAAGAATGCAAGTTGTAGAATGACTAGTATTATATATTACTTATACGTTACAGTTTTAAAACAGAATCATATTTTACATAAATACTCATTCATAATAAAAGTATAACTACAAGGATAAGAATGGTGGTTGTTGACCACAGTTTGATTCCCCGTCAGGCTATATGCCTGGGATTACAGGCTTAGTCCCCAGTGTGGTGTGTGCAGGATTCTCTCTCATCATCTTTCATATCTCTCTCTCTCTCTCTCTCTCTCTCTCTCTCTCTCTCTCTCTCTCTCTCTCTCTCTCTCTCTGTCCTTCCCCTTTCTCCCTCCTCCCTCCCTCTCTTTCCTCTCTGAAAATAATTTAAAAAAACAGTGGTTGACTGTGAAGTGGAAAAAGGATAACTGAGATAAAAGAAAACTATGAAATTTTAGTTTCCTTTTAAAATGTTACAAAGGGGAATAGACCAAAATATTAGTATTTGTTAATTCTGGGTTGGCTTGTGGATGTTTACTACATTACTTTCTATAATATTCTGGTTTTTCATACACTCATAACAGACAGATACCCTCCAATAGACAACACAATGATTGAAAGAATTTGATGAGCTGAACTCTTTTCAACAAATATATAACCAATAAGTGTTATAAATAAGAAATCTTTCTTGGATTTTCAGCTTTTAAAAAAAATCAAAACCAAAAGAATTACAAAGACAGATATACCCTATTTCATCCCCACCCAAGGATTTTTAGAGAGTGGAAGAGAGAGGGAAAGACAGAGAAATATATCGATGTGAGAGAAATACACTGATTTGTTACTTCCTGCATGCATCCCAATCAGGGCCCAGGTTGGGGAGGATCCTGCAACCAAGGGACATGCCTTTGACCAGAATCGAACCCAGGACTCTTTGGTCTGAAGCTGAGACACTGAGCCGGTAGGGCAGACAGACATGCCCTATTTCAAATGCTTCATTTTAGAAAAATGCCAGCCGAGTAGCAGGATGCTGCACAGACATGCTTTCAGGAACAAGCTGGAATTACAATTGAAATGTGGAAAGACTTCCTGAATAATCAACGGAAAACTCACAGGAAAGAACTCTGATACTCAAGAATCAAAGATGGAGACCGCACAGAGACTGGTAGGAGGGGTGGAAGCGCAAAAGGGCACCCAGGATTGAAGTTCTGGAAGATATCTCACCTGTGAGGGGGTGCCACTGAGAACTCTGGGATCTAATCCCAAAGCTGGACTCCCCAGCAGAGAGCACCAAATCCAAGGACGGTACCCACATAACATTTAGCTGTGAAAAGCAGTGGGGTGCTGTCTGCCAGGGAGTGGCAGCTGAAAGTTTGGGTACCCTCCTGAAGGGCCAATGCACAAAAATTCCCACCTTGTGCTCTGGCAGAGAGAGGGTGAAGTAGACTGGAGCTATGAGAGCAGAAGCTAAGAGTCGGGACTTGGGGGACAGAGCTCAGAAGGCAGACACCCCAAGTTTTCTGAGCTGATCCATTCCTTCATGCAGCAGAGGACATCTTTCCCACATAGACATCTGCCTTCCCTGGGGGAAAGACAGTCAACACACCTTACTTACTGGAAAGCACCTTGTCCTGAGGCCACTTAGGAGATTAAAAGTAACCATTACCCTCCAGGCAGAAGCAACTGCCCCACCCTGTTGAAAAAACTCTTACCACACGTGAGGATGATTGCAATCCTATTAGTCTGTAGACAGGAAGTCTCTGCAGGCTTTGAATCTTTGCCTGATCCAATTAATCAGAAACAACCTTTAACACTGTCTTGCACAGAGCAGTGGTCAGCAAACTGCAGCTGACTAATGAGTTTGCCAACCACTGTCTATCCTACCCTTTTATCTCTTTGCACACAATATGACACAATTGCCTAATCCTCGCAGCTTCCAATTACATCACAATATTTAGTCTACCAGAGGCAGCAAACTCATTAGTCAACAGAGGGGCAAACCGAGGCTCATGAGCCGCATGTGGCTTGGGAGCCGCAGTTTGCTGCCCACTGCACTAGGGATTGGGAGGTGTAGAGGTTCTATCTAATACAGTCACAAACCCAGAGAGACAACCAAAATGAGTAAACAAAGAAACAACCCCCAAATGAAAGAACTAGGGAATTCTCCAGAAGAGATAAATGAAGCGGAGATAAGAAATTTATCTGAAACAGAGTTCAGAGTAATGATTTTTAAAATGTTCAACAGTATGTAAAAAGATATATAACTTTGAAAAAAGAATAGTCTGAGATAAAGAATGGCATAACATAAATAACACATTTGAAGGAATACACAGCAGATTAAGAGAAGCTGAGGATCGAATCAGTGAATTAGAAGACAGAGTTAAAAAATATCACTCAAGCAGATTTGGCTCAGTGGTAGAGCATCGCTCTGCGGACTGAAAAGTCCCAGGTTCGATTCCAGTCAAGGGCATGTACATTGGTTGCGGACACATCCCCGGTAGGAGGTGTGCAAGAGGCAGCTGATCGATGATTCTCTCTCATCGACATTTCTAGCTCTCTATCTCTATCTCTCTCCTTTCCTCTCTGTAAAAAATCAATAAAATTATTAGAGAACTTAAAAAAAAAAAAAAAAAAAAAACCTAAAAAAAAAAGAGAAACCAAGATGGCGGCATAGGGTAGACACCCGAATGCAGCCTACCACAACAAATTTGAATTTAGAACTGGAAAAAAGGGGAGGCATTGCCCTGAAGTACCGGACGGCTAGCTGAGAGGAGGCTCTGCCATCTGAGAAGTTGAGAGAAGGCACACTGAACCTCAGGAACTGTGAAGGTACGGAGAACTGTGCGCGCGAAAAGGCGCTGGCGCATGGAGAGGAAGGGCCGGACAGAGATTGCTGCTGGCCTACTCCCGGTGCGCGAAGAGAGTGGGGCCGGGCCAAGTTCGCTACTGGCGCTCGGAGAGGGCAGACAGCTAACGCGCAGCTGGCTTTCTTGTTCAAGAGGAAAACAGAATCACCCTACTGATAGACGGCCCCAGGCAGGGAGAGAGGCCAGACTGTCAGGAAGCAGGCAGAGATCTCTCTGAGGTGTGTGAAGCCAGAGGCCATTACTGAGGAACTTGGGGAGGAGCCAACAGGAAAACAAAGCTTGTCTGCACCAACCCAAAACTCCATCCCATCCAAGCTGAGCACAGAAGCTCTCCCAGAGACTGGCTTTCACTAAGGAGGGACTGGCCAGAATCCAAAGCTTGTCTGTGCCTTTACCAAAGAGGTGTGCGTGCCTGCAACCAATCTTCCGAAACTCACCACAAACAGGACTTTTCTAAGGCAAGACTGACAGGAAACCAAAGATTGTCTGCGCCACCCCAAGACCCCGCCCCATCCAAGTGGAGTACAGAAGCCCTCCTAGCTGAGAAACTGCTGATCCTCACAGCCAATTGGCTTGGAGATCAACGCTTCCCAGTGATATCAACAATAAGGAAGGCTTAACAATAAGACTGCACACACAGCCCACAAAGGGCTACACCAAGACTGTCCACTGCAGGTAACTGGGAAGGCTGTGCTACTGGGCTCTACCAGAACACCTAGCACACAAAACTATTCCGTCAAATTAGGTAAACAACTAAAATGCAGATAAGAGGAAGGACACAAAGGAAGAAGATGGAGGAAAAGAAAAGGCTGGATTGAGTTTAAAACTACAGTTATAAGGTTATTCAAGAATATCCTAAAAAAGGTTGATAAAATAAATGAGACCTATGAGGATATGAAAAGGGAGCAACTAGAAATAATAAGGGATCAACTAGAAATGAAGAAGACATTGTCTGAAATAAAAAATATTACACAGAGTCCTAAAAACAGACTGGAAGATCACAAGAATCAAGACAAAGATTTAGAACACAAAGAGCCAGAGGACACTCCTCTACAGAAGCAAGAAGATAAGAGAATCCAGAAAGTTGAAGATAGTTTAAGAAACCTCTGGGACAATTTCAAGCGAACCAACATCAGAATTATGGGGATCCCAGAAGAAGAGAGAGAGCAAGATACTGAAAGAATACTGGAAGAAATAATGACAGAAAATTTCCCCTACCTGTGGAAAGAATTAGACTTACAAGTCCAGGAAGCCCGCAGAACCCCAAACAAAAGAAATCCAAGGAGGACCACAACAAGACACATCATAATTAAAATTCCAAGAGTAAAAGACAAAGAGAGAATATTAAAAGCAGCAAGAGAAAAGCAGGTAGTTACCTATAAAGGAGCACCCATACAATTGTCAACTGATTTCTCAACAGAAACCATGCAGGCCAGACGGGAATGCCAAGAAATATTCAAGGTGATGAATAGCAAGAATCTACAGCCAAAAATACTCTACCCAGCAAAGCTATCACTCAGAATCGAAGGCCAGATAAAGAGCTTCACCAAAAAAAAAAAAAAAAAAAAAAAAAAAAAAAAAAAAAAAAAAAAAAAAAAAAAAAAAAAAAAGGCTGAAAGAGTTCATCACCACCAAACCAGAATTATATGAATTGCTGAAGGGGGTTATTTAGGAAGAGGAAGAAGATAAAGATAAAAATTATGAACAACAAATATGTAACTATCAACAAGTGAATCTAAAAACCAAGGGAATTAAAAAATCTGATAAACAATATTAACTGGTGAATATAATAGAATCAGAGGTATGAAAGGGGAGTGGACTGACGATTCTTGGGGAAAGGAGGAGTGGGGGTGCAGAAAGAGACTGAACAAAAACTGTGCACCTATGGATTAGGACAATGGGAGATGGGGAAAGGACAGAGGGTGGGGTGGGAACCTGGTGGAGGGTAGAAATTGGGGGAGGGGGGGGGAGGAACACATTTGTAATAATCTGAACAATAAAGATTTATTTATTAAAAAAAAGAAAAAAAACAATTAAAAAACATGAGAACAGCTTAAAGGAGCTGCAGGACAAAGTGAAACCTAGCAACATTAGAATAGTAGGTGTGCCAGAAGAGGCAGAAAGGGAGAAAGGATTAGAAAATGTGTTTGAAGAAATAATGGTAGAAAACTCTCTAACCTGGTAAAAGAAAAAGTCATACAAGTTCAGGAGGCACAGAGAACCCCAAACAAGAAGAACCCAATGAGACCCACACCAGACACATCATAAAATGCCAAAAATTAAAGACAAAGAGAGAATCTTAAAGGGAGCAAGAGGAAAAAAATAAAACAAACAAAAAACCTGTTACCTACAAAGGAGTTCCCATAAGGCTGACACACCTGATTTCTCATCAGAAACTCTACAGGTCAGAAGGGAATGGCATGAAGTACTCAAGATAATAGAAAGCAAGGATCTGAGACTGAGATTACTATATCCAGCGAGGCTATCATTCAAAATATACGGTCAAATAAAGAGCTTATCAGACAAAAAAAAAAAAAGGCTAAAGGAGTTCATCACCACCAAACCAGCATTAAAAAAATGCTGAAGAAATTGCTATAAGGGATTGCTGAGAAGAAGAAACAGAGAGAGAAACCTAACCATATAGAATTAAAATAGCTATAAATAAGTACCTCTCAATAATAACCCTAAATGTAAATGGATTAAGTGCTCCAATCAAAAGGTGTAGGGTAGCTGAATGAATACAAAAACATGACCCAACTAAATGCTATCTACAAGAGATCCACCTTGGAAGCTGCAAAAATGCAACAAAATAAATCACAAATGAAAGAAATGGAGGACAAAAAGCGACTGGATATAGAGTTCAAATCTACGCTTATAAGGTTTTTCAAGAATTTCCTAGAAAAGGTCGATAAGACCTATGAGGATATGAAAAGGGATCATCTAGAATTAATAAGGGATCAACTAGAAATGAAGAAGACATTGTCTGAAATAAAAAATATTACACAGAGTCCTAAAAACAGAATGAAGATCGCAAGAATCAAGTCAAAGATTTGGAACATAAAGAGCCAGAAGACACTCCTCCGCAGAAGCTAGAAGGCAAGAGAATCCAGAAAATTGAAGATAATGTAAGAAACCTCTGGGACAACTTCAAGCAAACCAACATCAGAATTATGGGGGTCCCAGAAGATGAGAGAGAGCAAGATATGGAAAACATACTGAAAGAAATAGTGACAGAAAACTTCCCCTACCTGGGGAAAGAATTAGACTTACAAGTCCAGGAAGCGCACAGAACTCCAAACAAAAGGAATCCAAAGAGGACCACACCAAGACAAATCATCATTAAAATTCCAGTAGCAAAAGACAAAGAGAGAATATTAAAAGCAGCAAGAGAAAAGCAGGTAGTTACCTATAAAGGAGCACCTTTACAATTGTCAGCTGATTTCTCAACAGAAACCATGCAGGCCAGACGGGAATGGCAAGAAATATTCAAGGTGATGAATAGTAATAACCTACAGCCAAAGATAATCTACCCAGCAAAGTTACCACTCAGAATCAAGGCCAGATAAAGAGCTTCACTAATAAAAAAAAAGCTAAAGGAGTTCATCACCACCAAACCAGAATTATATGAATTGCTGAAGGGGGTTCTTTTAGAAGAGAAAGTAAATAAAGATAAAAATTATGAACAACAAATACGTAACTATCAACAAGTGAATCTAAAAACCTTGGACAGATCTTCCAGACAAAAACTTAACAAGGAAATAGACTCTAAAGGATATACTGGATGGATTTAACAGATCTTTATAGAACATTTCACCCCAACATAGCAGAATATACATCCTTCTCAAGTGCACATGGGTCATTCACAAAAGTATGGAGTTTCCTCAAAAAATTATAAATGGAACTCCCATTTGGCCCAATAATCCCACTTCTAGGAATATATCTCAAAAAGCTAGAAACACCAATCAGAAAGGATATATGCACCCCTATGTTCATAGCAGTACAATAGCTAAGATTTGGAAACAGCCTAAGCACCCATCAGCAGATGAGTGGGTTAGAAAACTGTGGTACATCTACACAATGGAATACTATGCTGCTGTAAACAAGAAGAAACTCTTACTATTTGCACAGAATGGATGGAGCTGGAGAGCATCATGCTAAGTGAAATAAGCCAGTCAGAGAAAGATAAATATCACATGATCTCACTCATTTGTGGAATATAATGAACAACATGAAGTGATGAACAAAAATAGAGCCAAAGGAGGAAAATATATACTGGAATATAATAGAAGTAATCCTGTTATTTGCAGATTTTTAATATTTCCTACAATTTTGTGATATCATATTAATGTTAGTACAGTTTTGATAACATTATACTTAAAATCCTTTTATTCTTAAAATATTAATATTTATTGCATGTAATATTATTATATGTAAGATCATTTTTCTTGAATAATTGTTTATTGCATGTAATATTATCATATTTAAATATTTTTCTTGAAAAAAATGTTTCATCTTAAAACCAGAAGCTGCCTTTCTTCTGGGAAAAGGTGATTTGCAAAATCAAAGTATGAGAAGCACACTGATTCCACTATCTTGCCCAAACCTCACCTATAAAATAACTAATTGGAGTGGGTATTTTAATACTATTTCCCTGATGGATACACCACAATGTCTAGAAGAAAACAACCTTAAAAATTTCAGATTCACTCTGTTCTTCTTATTGCAAATCCTCAAAATTCAGCAGTAACTTTCAAGGGTTACTAGAATTAAGCCACTTCTATTCTTAACTTCTAACAGGGAATAAAGGCAGAAAAAGAGATTAGAGTATAGTTCCAAGCAGTAAGAGCAGCAGGTTAATGCAAAAAATTTTTAATTTACCTGCTATGATAAAAGAATTTGCAACCCTATTATGGGAATAACCACAAAACATTTTGTCTTACTGCTACTTTCATTTTTACTATAAAATTAAACTCTCATCAGTGAGGAAACATCTCTTCATACCTGTAAATTGTAGATATGAAGAGTAAAAAAAGCATAATATATTTGTTTAACATAGCAGATACTGCTAAAAGTTAAAAACCAAACTTACCAATATCTTTCCTTTTAAAGATTTGAAGTATTTGACAAATTCTAAACATTAATAGACACAAACTGCCAGTTTTCCCAGCCCTCTCAACTATTTCCCACTTATTGCCTAGGTTAGACATAAATACAAAGGTCTAAAGCTTATACTTTGATTATTTCGGTGCTCAAACAGCATAATGAATAGAAGATAAAAAATGACAGATTCTCCCTTTTACCAAACTTTAGCTAGGATCCTCTTGAGCCCTTTCTCAAGTAGGCCTCAACCTTGGCCTATAAAAACTATAGACTCTTATCACAAATGATTTCATCTATTCCTCTCCCACAACAGTAAAAGATTTAAACACTAATAGTTTCTAACAGCTCAAGGTCCCATCCCTAGGGTTGACCATAGCCCCTTTGTAAGTGCCTGCTTAGGGTTGCCAAAAGAATTTAAGGTTTGTTATAACCAACATCTGACTAGAGCCCCCAGAGCACCCTATCTTAGAGCACTTACTAAAAAGAGTTTACAATTGTGAATTATCTGTGACCCTTGGAGATCTGTATACATCTCTCCTACAATTCTGAAGTTTTTGCTCAAGGACATGACAGCCATTCTTTAAAAGGTGGTCATCAGGAAGGAGAGGGTCTCATATCCCTCCATCTCTGCAGAATCCTAACTTCCATGGTTGTCAACTAAGAGGCACCGCCCACCTTATCATTTACTACACTGATCAACCCTTTGTAATTTGTCACTTCCCTGACTCTATTGGGCCAAAATAGCAAACCCTGTCTAGTCCCTCACCTTTTAAAATGCCCAGTCCCGCCGAGACCGGTTTGGCTCAATGGATAGAGCATCGGCTTGGGGACTGAAGGGTCCCGGGTTCGATTCCGGTCAAGGGCATGTACCTTGGGTGCAGGCATATCCACAGTGGGGGGTGTGCAAGAGGCAGCTGATCGATGACTCTCTCTCATCGATGTTTCTAACTCTCTATCTCTCTCCCTTCCTCTCTGTACAAAATCAATAAAATATATTTTTAAATAAATAAATAAATAAATAAATAAATAAAATGCCCAGTCCCTCTGCACAAATCCAAGTTGAGTTCAGTTCACACAGGACCTTCTATTATAGCGGTAAATTACTGATTAAGAGCTGTCCTTACCACTTTAACCAGTGTCCAGCTCTGTTTATCTTTGACAAAAATAAAGTGATAAAGAAGGAATATTAAGTTAAATATATCTCAATTAAAAGATTAAAAGAAAAATCATTATCTCAAGTAGTAAAGACTTAGTTGCTTTATATAAGATCATTTAGATATAAAGTTCTTTTTTAAAAAAAAAAAAAAAAAGGAAAAATGAAGGCTTCAACTCCATGAAGGAATCATAAATCTAAGAAGTCAACCACTCAATATTTGGGGTGGAAAGAACACCTGGTAAATATCAAACCCCAACCCTTCATGTTACAAATGACGAATCTACTGCCCAAAGAGATTGTGACTTACCTAAGGTAACTTAAATGAAGGACTGAATTTAAAAAGGCTAATTCAGTATGATTGTCTTCCTGACTCCAACATGAAATATTCTTTCTCTTGCATTCTCATTAGTAAAAGTAACATTCACCATTAATCATTCAAGATCATACATGAACATATATTACCCTTAGTACAATGTGAGTTTTTACCATTCCACTATAGACCACAATTATACACTGAGGACAGTTTGTTTGATGCAAGTACACATAAGATTTCATTTCATTCGGGAAGGCTATTTCAATAGTCCTAGGAAAATATGTAAAGCACTTTGTTGAAGAGAAATTGCTTTCACACACAAGCAAAACAACAAATCCCCATGCAGAAACCCAAAGGAGGGCCAAATGAAGTATACAGTCTTACAAACAACCAAAAGAAGAAAAATAAAAGTAAATAAAAATTCCTTTACTGCACTTACCAGCAAAGCATTTGGAACAGAGGTTCATAGTCTTGCTGGACCTAAGGCAAAAAAGAAAAAGAAGAAAAAAAAAGAAGAGCTAAAAATTCAGTATCACTGGCCAGGCAACTACACTAATAAACTAATAGTAAGTTCCCAATCAGCCACACCACCCCCACAACAAAACACAATACTTTTTATTTGTGAATTACCCAATGCATTATTTTTTGTGACTAGCAGCTATTTCTCCCACATAATTACCACATTCCCGCAGTTCACACTGGGACATTTATCACAAAGTTATCACTACAATGAAAACTTAATCTGTAAAGGGGTAAGACTTCCTCATTGCATACACATTCATTTATCTCTGCAGCATTACTTGAACTTTTATCTTGTCTTCTTTCCCCTCATTTATTCCTATTTCAAGATCTGTCACATTATGACCTTGCTGTTTAAAATTCTTTCTTCAAATGTTCCCAATAAAATTATTTTTCATGTCCTTTCCTCGTGTTAATAGCTACTAGTCATGGAAAAATAACTTGGCTGGGCAATTGACATGCATTATCTTAATCTTCCTAACATCCCTGAGATGGAAATTATCATATTGCTTTCCTTCTAAATGCATTTTTTAAAATCACATTAACATTTGTACAACCAGGAAACATCATACAATTGGCTATAAGGAATGACTAATTTAATGAGAAAATGTTCCCACCACCTCCTACAAGAGATCTTAAATTCAGAGGTCTTAGGAAATCAAGGCCATACAATTGCATGCCATGTGAGGGGTGAGCAGCTTGCCCAAGATCACACAGTTGTAGAAGAGCAGAGGAAGTGTGTGACCTTGATACTGAGCCAACTCCAAAGGGTCCTCTGTACACAGCACAGCACAATATGTAGCATCACACAGCAGCCCAGGCACAACACGGTGGGCAAGCAATAATAATTTGTCTGAAAGTTATTCTCATTGCTATTTCCCTTCCTGATTCTTTCTCAAGTACTAGATTCATTCCTATAGCTTTCTGCCAAACGACTCCTGGAATACTCTGTTGAATAATCTGGCCTATTTACAGCCTAATTCCTCAGCAACTCCCTTCCCCATATTTTAGTCTTTGCCCAAAGCCACTCCTCCACATGGAATAAACCAACTTTCCTCTGCCTCCTTAGTAAATTTTATAATTAATGAAAGCCTTCCTCAGGAAGTATTCCCTGATAACTATGATTGTATGCCAATGTAATGAAACCAAAGACCTAATGGTTATTAACTATCATAAGGTGACAAAATCGGGGGTAGGTAAATCTTGGGTCAAGAAGAAATGGTCATTATTTCTCCTTCCCAAAGATGATGCTACGTTAACAGGTGAATCTTTCTTTAAGACTCTACTTAATATAAAGACAACAAAGGAAGTAAGGAAATTTAAGCATCAATAATTGCATACAAATGAAAAAATGGAAGATGTATTAACAGTGGAACCTAACACTTCTTACATGCCTACTATGTGGTAAGCACGATACCAGATGCCTTCAACCCCATTTCACCAAACGAGAAAACAGAGGCTCCAAGAGGGTATATAATTTGCCAAAGGTTACAAAACACATTAGTGGATGAACCTAGTCTGCTGAACGCTAGAGGCTGTGTTGTTTTCACCACATCATGCCTCCAATGCCTCCAATACAGAGGAGAGGGGTAATCTGGGAGAATGTCCCATAACTAAAGATTTAATCTATGGTAATTAGGTCAGCTCTCTTCATATGGTGAAAGGGCAAAGCCTCCCCTCCAAAAACATATACCAGCAGGAGGGCTAATGTCCAAGCATCCTCGTGTTTTCTTAAAAGCCCAGGTAGGCAACCACATTTGAGAACTGCCTGAGTCAAGTGAAAGAAAATTTTAAAAAAACAAACAAAAAAAAAAAAAACACCACAAAACAACTTTTAGTCAAACAGAACAGAACAGGTAAGCATGGGCCTAATAAAACTGATGTTAGAGTACAGGAGTATCAGAATGAATTATAATCTTGTTATGATGTCAGATCTATTAGATTTCATAAGGCATGATTTTTCACAAAATACACTTGAATCTTTGCTAGAATTATGATACTCGGTATGTACCTAAAATGCTTTTATGAAATCTTTTATTAATGAATTCTAACTGTGCATGTAATTTATTATGTATATTATGAATGTACTAGAGGCCTGATGCACAAAATTCGTGCAAGGGGCTCGGCCCTCACATCCCCAGCCTGCCCTCCCAGGCCTGGCTACGACCAGAAGGTCGTCTGGACAGTCGTCCTACTGTTTGGTCTAATTAGCATATTAGCTCTTTATTATATAGGATGTGTGTGTGAGACACGCATTATATTAGTAATCTTATCTAATATTTAGTTTGCCTCAAATAAACACAAATAAATCCAATAAATATTTACTGGCACCCACTGTGCCAGGCACTATGTTGGGTACTGTAAATATATCCAAGAACCAAGACACAGTCTCACATCACTTTTTTTTTAAAAAGACTTTCTTTCGTGCTGTGTTGTGTTTTTTTGTTTTGTTTTGTTTTAATATATTTTATTGATTTTTTTACAGAGAGGAAGAGAAGGGGATAGAGAGCTAGAAACATCAATCAGCTGCCTCCTGCACACCCCCTAACTGGGTATGTGCCCGCAACCAAGGTACATGCTCTTGATTGGAATCGAACCCGGGACCTTTCAGTCCGCAGGCCAAAGCTCTATCCACTGAGCCAAGCTGGTTTCAGCTCACATCACTTATTATTAACCTGGATATATCAGTCATTAAGCAGACGGCTGTGGAAATACCCATCCCTTTTCATCATTTCCTTATTTTACTTTTAGATGTGAACATTCTGCTTTATTCTTCCCTGGGGCATTATAGGATTCTCACTTTGTCATATCAACTCCTTTAAATTCCAATTTTCATTTTAGATGGGGAAAATGTACATCCAAGCAGCCTCTATTACTACTTCAAAGCAACTGGAAAAATCCCAGATCTACATTTCCATTGAGCTGAGAATTTCCTATATGCCTAATAATGATACTTTATGACCTAGAAGTTCCAATGAATTGGTAGTAAGAAAACACTGATTTGCTTCAGTGGCACTGTAATTGGAATGGTGATTAAATGTATCATGTTAAATTTACTCTGGGTCTTTTCCAGTGTGGCAAACATAAAATGAGCTATCAGCATCAACAGAGCCTAAATCACACTTTCCTTCTAAAATGATACTTCTCCTACTTGTCAAAGGTGATTGTTTGAGCTTATCCATTAATAATGAAGTGGCATAACATGGCAAACATATACACCCACAGACTTCTATAGGATGTACACGGACCAACATGGTTTATTGTACTTAGCAAGTTGGGACACCTTATGTATGTCAGAGCACTGCATTTGCACCACTATAGTTAATGGTCTGTCAGCATTTCCATTATAAAGCAATTTTCAAAGGTTTATTGCTCTGCTGAAGAATTTGCTCTGAGCTGAAATTTGGCATTCCAGAAAAGCGAAAACTGTAGCCCATAAATGTTTATTCCCTTTCAAGTAGGCAAAGTAGTTTGTGTGGGTGTTTTGGGTTTGTTTTTTTTTTTAAGTTAATCTGACTCTTTATTTTAGAATTTCCCCCTATAGCCCTTTGTAAATATTCTCAGAAAATAACCCTCACACCTCACAAAGGGACGATTGTTTGGTAACATCAGCTAGCAACCTGCAAGGTACAGAGCACAGGTTCCAACTTTTTTATGGAAAACAATTTTTTTAAAGCATATTTTTTTAAATCAATAGTAATTTTAAAGCTTTTTCATCAGTTCTACCTAGTTATATTAAATTATTCATCATACTAGAGTACACTGCCATTGATATTAAAATCAATGGATGACTTTTAAATTCTCAACTGTTAAACCTCCTTTTATCCTTCCCACTCAAGAACCATAGACTAGCCCTGGCCAGCTTGGATGAGTGGATAAAGTGTAAACTAGTGGAAGAGGGGTCCCAGGTTCGATTCCAATCAAGGGCACATGCCTGGGTTGTGGGCTTGATCCCCAGTAGGGAACGTGCAGGAGGCAGCCAATCAATGATTCTCTCTCATCATTGATGCTTCTATTCTCTCTCTTTTCCCTTCCTCTCTGAAGTCAATAAAGACATAAAAAATAAAATAATAAAATAAAAAAAAACAGGGGACTGTTCCCCTTCCCCACATGGGAGTTAGTCCAGGGACTCTTTCCCCCTCTCTACTTGGGAGTCCATTCTGTGGGACTCCTCCCTCTCCCTGCATGGGAGAATGTACTTGTTCTTCCATAAATCACCACCTTTGCTATACCAAAAAAATAAAAATAGCCATGAACTACTACTGACCTAGTGTGAGTTTTAATCCTAAAATCCTACTCTCAATTCCTACTTACCCTGCTGGATAAAGGGAATAAGTGCCATAGGTAATAGCTAGGTAGCAAGAAAGATTCTATACTAGATAGAAGCTTTAAAGGCAATTCAGAAAATTCAGAAAATAATGATTGGACCCTGAATGCCAAAGTTCACAGAAAACACTGTAGTAATCTACAAGATTGGTACATTAGTGATAAACTAACAATTTTATTTAATCTCTAGGAAATGTTCTGTTAGTCTGAAAACTTCAAACAAAGATGAAATCAACTATCCCAGTATTCTTGTTATTGAATCTATCTTGACAGCTTAAATATTTACACTTTAAATTACAAGATTTGCAATTCTACAACTAAATATAATCTGATGCAATTCTGCCCAATAAATAACAAAAGAATGGTTTTCTATGCTTAAAGATTCTTAATATGTAAAAGACCCTCTAAAACTTTGTGGAGACTGGTGATCAAATCGTCCTTTTAAAAATGAAAACTTTTTACAGAAGTATAAAGATTCATCCTAAATTACTATTGTACTAATACAGCTTAATATACTTTGCCAATTTTCCAACTTTCTATTACTCTGAAATAACTAGCTATAATCTCTGATATTATGAATATTTTAAAATATCTATAAAACTATTCCAGATGAGTAGAAACACAAAATACAACTT